AATGATGACTGGTGCAAGCTAAATCTGTCGAGTCACAAAGTCCTCCATGTTCCCATAACAAATCATACCTCTGGGGGTACTGGTCCAGGAGTTTCTTTGTCATCTGGATTGGTTCAAAATTACAAGGCTAGGGAGTTGAAAATTAGTAGTCGTAAACCCGAAATAGGATCGGCTGTTCATCGAAAGTTATAAATAAAAAATAAAGGGATATAACGGGTCAAAGTATTTATGTTGTCAACTAAAGGCGCATTCTTAAAAACAGCAGAAATAGTTTTCTTTTGTAAGGAAAAAGATAACTTGGTCGGTGGTCGCCTACACATTTCGTTCATAATAACATTTTGATAGAACTATTTTAATTTAGGAATTAAAATATGAATTATTCCTCTGATCAAGATTGAACTCTTCGGTTTTCTTACAAGGCTCTTTAAGAAAAGACATTTCGAAAATATTAAATTCATGCCATATCGTGTTAAATTTATATCATCACGAAAAATTTTTTTAAACTTTAAAAACATACAACTGATTAGTTGTCTTGATTACTAATGATGAAACTAACGATACCCAACCCTAACGGGTTCTGAAAAAGTAATTTTTAGATAACCTAGAATTATGAAGAGAAATGTATGAATATTCTGTCACATTTCTTTCTTTTTTTTAATTGGATATTCAGTTACGCAGAATTAAAAAATATTTAACTTGACCAGATTCAAATATTTACTCAATGTTCCTAGTTCATGTTATATATTCCTCTAATATAAATTTGTCCTATCAAATTTTCAGTTTTTATAGATATAAAACAGTTCGTTCGCAAACGATTTTGCTTTTGTGCTTGGTAAAGCATCACAAGTTTCAAGATTATTTTAAATTCACAGAACTAATCACCTTCATGATAAACCGGACGTTTCACACAAAAAATCTAACTAATTACTAAAAATGAATTCTTCGGTGGCAAAATAACCGGATATTTACTTAAAAATCCTAGAGTTTAACAGATAAATTTTTAATTTGTCAAATATTCATTACTAGGTGCATCAAATAACGAATAAATATTTTTTTAAGTTTCATAATTATTGCAATAATTCTTTAATATAGATTTCTTTCTCTGAATAGCGTGAAAGATAACATAAACGTAAAAAGTAAAGGACAATATTTTAGCAGACATAGCTTGATTAGGGACTCAAAACGATTTCGATTCAAATGTGTAATAGTCAAGACCGCCACGAAAATTAGCACTAAGATTGAAAAAAAAAAAAAAAGTCAAGGCTTTACTTTAAACTTTGAAGAAGAAAAAAGAAAGAAATGCTGAAGCAAGACGAAAATTTAGGTTCAGAGTTTCTAGTATATTAATGTCGATTTTTGTTTTCTTTTCACTTTTATCCTACGCACTTTGCCAGATGTCATTTCCAGGGCAATCTTGGCGAGCGTAAAACTGGCATCATGAATGAATTTTCATTTCACGGAGAAATAAAAACTCTCTCTTCAAGTTTTCTTATCTTTGAACTGTTTATTTCAAGTAGAAAAACAACAACGCGTAGGGTACCTACTAAATTAAAGTAAAAATATCATTATAATTGACGAATTGATTGAACTAACACAATCCAGTGGTGGCTGGTCATATAGTCATGATAAGTACCCCCACTTTTTGCAAATTTTTACTGATTTGATTACTGATTAATTAAAAACCATCGTTATTACATTTATTAAATTTAATTACATTTTAAAAAAACAATAATAATACCACGGGATTTTAATAACTCTGACCTCTTTTCAAAAAAAGAGGATTCTTTAGTTTTTGGAACAATTAAATTATTTGTTCTAAAATCCAATTTGCAATTTATGTGGCAGCAACAAAATTAGCTTTATTGTCATTTTATTGCTGCCACATAAATTGTATACTTAAATTGGCATTTGTTTATATTTTTGCGATGGGTTCCTTAATTTACCTAGAGAAAGTCTAATTTTGCCTCCTCACACCCCAGCATTAAACTATCTAGTCTGTTATTGTCGATAATTAATCAAATAAAGTTTTTGGCAATTTTAAATTTCCTACAATTTAACAAATCTTTGGCACAGTTTTTGAGGAACAGTTTTTCTAAAGCACAGATTATCTACTGAAGGCAAATTAATTTTCTAAACTTTAAAAATTTACAATTATGATTTTTTTTATTTATTATTATTGCTTACAACACGAATAATTTCTAATTTCAATGACTAAGGATTCGAAAAATTCGACAATCGTCTAAATCTGTCAAATATCACGCAAAATTTCCTTAATTCCCGAATAGAGAAAATGTTGGGAAGTCCGATACTAATCTGATTGTTGTTTTATTTTAACTTTATATAATTATAGTAGACTTAACTAAACTCCTTTACGTAAAATATTGAAAGAAACTAAAGTTGTTTTTAATTCCTGAAAAAATTCATTCGTTTTTTATTTCAATTATTGCTATTTATTTTTCACTGACTTAGAAATCAGGTATTAAATAACTTGAAAATAAATAGTATTAATGATTTCTTAATCAGATTAATAATTTCTTAAACACGACTGCAATTATATATTGTTTGAAATAGTTGTTTTATCACTTGATATTTCTTTTTTTAAAAATGAGTTTCTTTGATTTTTTCCGCTTAAGTTAAAAAGGACGGAAAAAAATTTCTCCGGGATTTTTTTCCCCTGTGGCAATATTAACTTTGCCATCACCAAAGTTCTCTGTTTATGAAAAGTTGATTCCGAAAGATCAACTTTTCATAAACAGTACAAAAATAATTTTTATATAGGGGGAAATTGTGAGGAACGACAGAATGATCAGCTTCCCCACAGCCCGCACACCAAAAATAAATAAATAGCTTTGTTTAACTAACAAGGGGTAAAACATGCCTTCCAAATTTATCAAAGTATTTTATCTCCTAAACGGACAGAGAGATAAAAAGTCCAAATAAAGCTAATGGAAGCAAAAGAAACAATATAGGTTGGTGGAATTTACGGGGGAAAATGAGTGCGAATTTGGGTAAAAAACATTTTTGAAGTATGAAAGTCATTATATTTTAAGGATTCTTTTACGGTGAAACCTCCAGGAAAATCCACCTCTATGTAGCGACCACTTTTGGAGAGGCACGGATTTTTTCCATAAACTTTGTTGAAAAAACCTCCAGGAGTTCCCTTGTCTTTTTGGTTGAGTGCAAAATTACAAAGCTAACAGTCGTAAACTCAGAATTGGGTCATTAAAGCCGGTTATAAAATAAAATATAATTATTTACAAATTTATTTTAAATAAAACTAACGCCTTTTTTTATATTTTTCTTAAACTTCAAAAAATTAAAGTACAGAATTTTAAAACTAAAAAAAAAAAAAATTTCTCTCCACAAAACAAAATTTAAAGTCAACATTTTAAAGACATTTACATTTTATAAAAGAAATATATTATAGAAATTAAACAGCATTTACGGCTTAAAAGCAACGTCTCAAAGAATAATTAAGACAATGAAAAAGAAATTTAATTTAAATGTATAATAAGAAAGTTAGAAAGAAAGGAAGAAAAAAATATGGTGTTTACAATGGAAAGAAATAAGCTTATTCTCACTCCCTCCCTACTCATGACTGCTGAGCACATAATATCGTGTTTCACATGATCGACTACAATTACAATATCAGTTTTGTCACATGAAGATTCGTTTGGTTAATCAACGGAACGAAAAATCTAAAAATCTTATTTCAAAAAAGTAAAAACTTGTTTTATAAGTACACTGACGGAAAAAAAGGTGGATTTTCTTTTCGCAATATTGCAGAAAGACTGGGAAGAAATGGATGCAACTGCGCATGATTTTATTTTATTTTAAAATCGCCGTTAAACAGCCGACCGTCTTTGGGTTCACGATTTCTAATGTTCACAGCCGACCGTCATTGGGTTTACGATTTCTAATGTTCAACTCCGTATCCTTATAATTTTGATCCCAATCCAGAAGGCAAGGGAGCTCCTGAATCAGTACCCCCAGAGGTATTGATTTGTTATGGGAAGTTGGAGGACTTTGTGACCCCGACAGATTTAACTTGCATCAATCAACATTTAATACACGGGGATTCTTCGGCCGCTTAGATTCAAACTCCCGTTCTCCCAAACACGAGTCTAACGCCCTGCCGCCTATCCCGGCTCCTACTGTGCATGTTTGTTGGCAACATTGGTCAAGGGAAGGTACTGCTTCAAGAAGACCGGGTTCTGGGCTGCTACGCGGTCCTGATCAGAGGGCAGACCGACGTATACGGCGCATGACTGTGGAGCACCGTATTGTGACTGTATCAGAAATTCGATGTGCAGTTGGCACTGCAGTGACACAACGAACTGTTACAAATTGGCTACTTCAAGTACAGCTCCGAACGAGGCGCTTTGTAGCTTGCATTCCCCTCACTCCAAACCATTGCCATATACGACGTGACTAGTGTAGAGTTGGAGCTCACTGGAGGACAGAGTGAAGATCTATTGCGTTTTCTGGTGAAAGTCGTTTCTGTCTTGGTGCCAGTGATAGCCGTATATTAGTTAAAATTTTTAAAACTTACAGGGCATGAGGTACATTAAAATTCTAACAGCACTTTTAATTGAAGAATAACTATTTATTCTGGATTGATTAAAAAAAATTCATTTACTTACAGAACTTATGAACATGACAATTTTTCTACCTGATATTTTATATATCTGCTTAAATTATTTATATACAGTGGTGAACACAATTCTTTTAATTCATTAAAATATTAATATATTTTATGCGAAAACACTTTCCACTCTTAAAACTGTTTCCACTATGTCCACTTTTTTTGTTACCATACATTCAATTATATTTTCCACTAATTATTATTATTGTTATAATTTTTTTTTTTATTTTTAGAAAACACTTCTACTAGACTAGGTTAATTATTTTCAGGAGTTACGAAAATTCTGCAGTAGTTGGACTGTATGTCATAAAATAGCCTGATACATTGAAAGAATAAGAATCTCAGTCGAACTTACCCCAACCAAAGATCGTCGTGAACGACTATAGGAATACATTAATCCCACGCGTTTTGACCTGCCACTGGTTCCAGCATAAGGAAGATAAAGGTGATTTTTAACCAAGTAAAAATAACGTCAGCCGAAGATCCAAGGAATCTGTAAAAGAATTAAAATAAATAATGATTATAAATGACAAAAAAATTAAAACGTTATAAATTTAATAATAATGGGAAAAAAAGCTAAACATTTTAGATCAAATTTTTAGGCATAAAATCTTGAAATAAAGATAAACAAAAATTATATGAATATAATAATAGAAAAAATTAAAGCATTTCTACAGTTCTGCGAAGCTTATAGAAATCAAAGTTTGCTGTTAAAACCTTCACCGTTTTTACTTATTAATAATGATGGATAAATGGAATGTATTGGCATTTAACAATTCTGAAATGTACGAAAGCTAAAGCACTTACTGCCACTAACCGCTTAAAATTTTACACATTTTAAAGCAATTTTATCAGCAGCATTATAAACAACTCTGTAAAAATCAATAATAATGGAGGCTTCAAGCATTACACATCCTTCGTATTATTGTATTAGATTCTTGTTGTCAATTTTAGTAAATATTGGCGTTGTAACCAGAGTCCGACTAAGCCTAATTGGGGCCCGGGGCAAAAACTTCTTTGGGGGCCCCTCTCTGCTTCACTACTTCAGTAATGAAGAACCGAACTTTATGGAGGTATTTAAATTTTTCACCTCCTTATAGAAAATTGTTTAGAACCTAAAATAGCTATTAAGTCCCTCCAATGGTCAGACGAAATATCGTTCTGTCCATTTTATTGATTTTCTGACAGTTCTATGTCCATCATGCCGAATGCAGTTTTCTGATTGTTAACTTGGTCATCTAGCAGCGAAAAATTCATATCCTTGCTCACATTAGGACGGAATTCAGCTAAATTTTCACAATTACGATGGCTCAATTAATCCAATCAGAAGCTTGTATTTTTGAAAACATCGCATTTTGGCGATATGAAAAATACAGGATTTTGATTGGCCAAATTTGTCCATCTTAATTACGAAAATTTAGCTGAATTCCGCCCCTAGAAAGCCATGGATTTACGAAATATAGATGGTGTTTTTACGATAGATTGATAAAGAATCAAACATAAAACCCACGGATTTTACACTGTAGTGATACTCCGTATAAAAAAAAGTTCATTAAAGAAGGAAAAGTAAAAGAAACTTGCTACTCGATTTTGGGGCCCCCGGGACCGGGGCAACTGCCCCGTATGCCCCTACCTTAGTCAGGCTCTGGTTGTAACTTAGGAAAAGTTTCACTGATTTTCACAGAATACAATTTTTATAATTCGAGTTGTACAAAAGTGTAACGCATCTGATCATGCTTCCCCCTTCGAAGTATATTTGTAAGGTACAGATATCAATTATATAAAAAACACAATTTCCAATGTAAGGCAAGATAGATTTTTGAATACTAGTCGAATATTTTCTTTTTCAAATTTGGAACTTCTAACAACAACAACAAAAAAGATGGTCTACCCTTCGGGGCTTGATATAATGAGTCTTGTCGTCCAAATAAAAACGAATGTCATAACGTGATGTTGGTATATTGAGAGTGCACTAAAATATTGAAAATATTCAGTTATAACTATTAAATACTGGACGCTAATTTTATCGAAAACATACCATATTTTGAAAGGAAAAAAAATTGGATTCTGATAAAGTAATTAATTAAAACGCTACATTTAACGGTATTTTAATATATTTCATCTTTAATGTATTAAAATTGTTATAACGTGATGTTGCTATATTGAGAGTGCACTAAAATATTAAAAATATTCAGTCATAACTAATAAATACTGGGCGCTAATTTTATCAAAAACATGCCATATTTTGAAGAAAAAAAATATTGGATCCTGATAAAGTAATTTACTAAAACGCTACATATTTAACGGTATTTAAATATTTTTCATCTTTAATGCATTAAAATTGTTATAACGTTATAACGTAATGTTGTTTTTTGAGAGTGCTCTAAAATATTGAAAATATTCAGTTATAACTAATAAATACTGGGTGCTAATTTTATCAAAACCATGCCATATTTTGAAGAGAAAAAAATGGATTCTGATATAAAGTAATTAATTAAAACGCTACATATTTAACGGTAATTTAATTTTTCTCACCTTTAATGTATAAAAAGTGAAAAAAAAAATAACATTAGTTACGAACAGCGCCATTTTCTTTAAACAACAGAAATTCAAAGAGGTGAAGTCTAAACAAATATAAAAAGGAAGAAGGATATGAATACCACATGTTCTAACTCGGAAGAAAAAAAATCTCCCAAGAGATGTAACATTTCCCCAATTTCAATAGAAAATTCACAAAGATCGGAAATGCATCCTTTTTAAACGTAATGAATAATAATAATAACAAAACAAGCAACTACTAAGAAAAATAAATTAGAAATCGGTGTCCTTTATTAAATTACAAAGTCGAAGTAATCAGCAAAACAATAAAACGGAGCTCATATAAGACTGCGATAAAATGAAACAGAGTAAAGAACTAGAATTCAATTTTATCCCTGTAACGTAAATGGACATCGATGGTATAAAGGTCATCAAAAAGTAAGTCCAGCTTGAACAGTAAGTAAGTTTTCTTCACAATAGAACTAACAGTAGAAAGCACAGCTCTCTTTTTTTTAATTCCAAGAAATGAATCGCCCGAAAAATGAAATGAAATGAAAGAGAATCTACTGAAACTAAGTGGATTAGTTCCGCAGAACAAAAGTCACGTGCGGAATGAAGATACATAATACAATCTTGGCTTAGCTTTCAATCAAGTCAATTGACAGTCGACTTCCTAGTACAACTTAGTGCAGGGATTTTACTTTTTTTTAAAATATAGAAATTCCAGCTACGCAGATATTCCAGCTTTTTCGTCATCAATCATTGAGCGGAAGTGTATTATTATTATTCAATAAAATGGTTTAAAATGCACTTCGGAATTATTACGCATCACCGTGATAGAATGGTTGGATGCAATTCTAAATACTACTTACAATACCTTGAAAAATATAAATAACGTATATGAATTTTCAGTAAACTTTTCGATATCACAATAGCAATAAAACCATTAAAGAACATTCGTGAATATTTTTTAAAAGTTATTTATGATTGTTTTTCTACAGATTGGACTTTATATGACCACTTCCTTGCTTGTTCACATAAAAACAAAGAGCTTATGAATTCTGAATTGATCTTATTGATAGTTCGACTTTTAAAATTATTTTGAATCTGAAAAAGTGCCGAACTCATAAACAATAAATATAGATTTTTTAGAAAAAAATTAAATAAAATATTAACGTTTTTGTAACTAAAACGAAAATAAGCGGTGAATGTTCTGGCGTAATTGGTAAAGCATTTTCAGCCCTTTTTCGAGGAATAAATCCGCCATTTACTCCATAATCAAAAGAAATATTGATAGGAGAATAACATTTTTCATCAAATCGGGGAATTAACTTGTAACAGCAACTGATGAATAGGTTATAAGCGTTTTTAGAAGCTAAATACGACAATTATATAATGAAGATGTTTGGAGGAATAATTTAATTGCAGTTTTAAAAAAAAAATCAAGTTGCTAAAAACAACGTAAATAATTGGGTAATGATACGAATTTATTAACAAAAATCTATTAATGTTCCACTTTCACGGAAAAAAATTTTTCTTCATTTTTTTAAAGTGCCGTGTGAATGAGTGCAAAGCTACTTGTTTTGGAACCAACTAGAATAAATTTAGCAACGTGTTGACGCACGATTACGATGATTTGAATTAAAAATGTATAAAAAATAATAATAAGTTTTATAAATGGATTAGAATAAGGTTAAGAATGAAAACGCCGGACAGCACAATCACATCACTGTAATAATTGAAACCGAACACCCAAAAAGAGGTTTGGTGAAAAATCCCTACCTACTTTTTGAATTAACTCAAAAAATCGTGCAAACCCATTCATATAGCATACCCTAAATATAAATACAATAAACTTATGTAATCAAAGAATTATTAATTCTAATTAATTCGGATTGAGATTAGAATAAATACCCTTAATAGGAAAGCTGAATATTTTTTCAAAATTGAATAGAATATTCCATCCATGAGTAGACAATGGCAACTACATCGATAAAAGTATGAACTTGTATCGCTAACGGCAAACAAAAACCTATTTGAAAAAGTTAAAATCTACTGGGAAATTAAAAAAAAAAAAAAGAAGAAGAAAAAGATGGCAATTAAAATTTCAAGAGCAACACCAAGCATTCTTCTACGATGACACGTGCATTATTTTAAAGAGTCATAACCAGCCCTACAAAAACAAATAAATAAAAGAAAGAAAAGCGAAAGAAGTGATGTTGCCGGACTTGGTACTAAATCTTTTCGAAACTAAAGGAAAACTGAACCATAAAAAAGGGCGGAAAAATCTTAGTCACATGTATTCATTTCCTGTGAGACATAATGCTATTGAATAAGTCAGTGGCTGAGATTGCCGCAATGCTAAATTCTGCACCAAATGGCTTGGTGTCATATTTACCAGGTTTTTCGGAAAAAAGAGTTATTTGTATTTTTGGCAATGCGTACATGAAACAAAATTTTGAAAAAAAATTTTTTTTACTTTTTAGAATAATCAATTTTTATTTTATTTATTATTATTCGAAATGTTTATTTGTAATAATTTATTTTGCAGGGTAAATTATTGAAAGTGTTCATACCTAAGCTGGAGTAGCCACAAAAATTCAGAAAAAAAAGTTCCGAACAGATCAAATAAAATTTTCCATATTTAAATTTCATCAATGGTTTTTCAGCTCTGACACATTCGCGTCATCACTGGCCGTATACATTAAATACGAAATAAATTACTCACATTAATTATTGGAGAAAAAAAAACAAGCATTTTTCAAAATTTATTACGAGATTAAAAATTCATTGGAAAATATTTTGGAACAGCTTTTAATCTATATTATACGTAAATTAAACAAAAATCTCAGAAAATTTTACAAAACTTTTTTAAATAATCAGGGGTCTGTCTAGACATTTTGTGAAAGGTCCGTTTTTCGTGAAATTGTGAAAAAATTACTTACATTCTTTCAACCAGGGT